CAGAAAGGCTTGTCCTGGCCTGCCTTGGCCAGGACGCCGCACGGGTTTCTTCCGCTGTAGAACTACCCCCGTGACACTAGTGGAGTCCCCCTCACCTAATGGGCCTGAATATAACAAAGTTACAAAGCCACTTTCATTCCTTATAACTCCTCCCATCCCAGAATAACCCAGAATGTGCTGACTGCTACCATCAAAATTTAACCTTCTCTTGGAATATTCTGGCATTCCTTTCTTCCCACACTGTCCACAGCAATGCTGCTCTTGCAACCCTCCACATTATTCTTCCTCTTTGTTGGCGCCAAGCAAAGATAGAAGGGTCAAAAAGCAAGCTTACTTCTAATTAATAGCATATTTTTCATGGTAGAATTGTTGCCTCTCTCACTCATCCCCCTCATGTTTGCACTTTGCACTAGAGAATTAGTATTACATGTTTAAACTGTTTATATTATATTTACAATATTTATCATACTTATCAAAAAAAAAAATACAAAACTTATCATACTTGTTGATTAATCATAATGAAATGAAGATCAACCAGCATTCAAAGTTTTAAACCATAGACATGTCCCTTTTACAGGTCAACACAAACAGATGAAGTCTTTTCAAATGCTATTAACATTGTTTAGTTATTAGTATTTCATTCATATAAGGAACATGATTAAAATTTAGGTTGTGTTTGGTAGGAGTGCAAAAAGCATATGTATCAATGTAAATGCAAATTTGGTCAAAAAGTGAGAAAGCAAACTTGGTTCAGCTTTGCATTGATCAATTTTGTACTGTGTTTGGTTGTGCCAGGTGCAAACACAAATTTCAAGAGTGGAATCTACCTTTTTTTTTATATTGGCCAACTTTGTTTTTGGTAAGAGTGCAAAAAGCATATGTATCAAAGTAAATGCAAATTTGGTCAAAAAGTGAGAATGCAAACTTGGTTCAGTTTTGCATTGATCAATTTTGTACTGTGTTTGGTTGTGACAGGTACAAACACAAATTTCAAGAGTGGAATCTACCTTTTCGTTTTACATTGGCCAACTTTGAGTGCAAAATTTGGAAGCATAATTTGCCCTCATTTTGAATGCAAAAATGTCAGGAAAAAAAAATACTTTCATTTTCAGCACAAAAGCATATTCTTACCAAGCACCTGCAAACCCGAATCAGAGTACAAATTGCCCAACAGACCCTAAAATAGAAAAAGAGGGACATAGTATTGAACTTGTAGAAGCTAATCCAGATAGAACTCACAACATCACTTATTCGAAATGGAACTACGGCACTACAAACGCCACAGGCACAACGGCACATGGTGATACATTTTTTTATCAGTGGCACGAGCAGATGAATCACAAAAATGTTTCATTTATTTCGGCACACAAGGTGCACACTCGTTTTCGACTTGTCCACTGTGCTTAGTCCTCTTGCTGTTTCGGACCTTGTGATTGAGCTAAACCAGGCAAAGAAGCTTCGCATAAATGTGATGCCGAAGAATTACGTGTTACAACTCAAACTTACTAAGGGGAATTTGAAGTGTTTGTATAAAGTACTGCAATGATTTTGTGCATATGAACAATTTTCGGGGCTCAATCCCCCTTACGATGTGCTTTCTGCAAAAACACTGATAACTCCATCTCAGGGAAGTTGTTTCCCACGCGGGAAACACCTTTGCATTGAAACAAAAGAACAAAATGGTTGGAAATCAAAATCAATGCCATTCGCAATGAAAAGGAAAAATTAAAAAAAAAAAAAAAACAAAACAAAACAAAAAAGGCAGTTACAATTTTACAGGAACTACATAGAGCTACTTCCCTACAACTGTATCGATTGCTCTACTGTAATGAATATACATATAATATCAATATCACAAGACTTCCAGCAGCTAGACTACATTTAAGTCAAGTGCCAATAGCATCAGATAAAGACCAGCTTTAGCCAAAAAAGAACGGAAACGACAGTACCAGAACTAGAGAAAGCCGAATTGAGCAGCGGAAGAAGAAACACCATCAATGTCAGCATCTTCCCTTTCCACCATGAAATTCATAACCATCGTCAGAAGAAGAAATCCAGGAGCTAAAACGCCAAAATGCAGCAGCCACGACGAGTATCGAGGGGAGTCCCGAGAAGGCCATGCCACAGGCAAAATTCTTCATCCCTCTTCGTTTTAGAAGCAAACCACAGCATGACGCCAAAGACGGCGAAGATACCAAAGCGCATGTGATCATAAAACCCTAGTTCGGAGAGTACAATGCAGGTGGGTTTGCAGATCCATGAAATGTGGCAGAAACTTGAGAGAGACGAAACCACGGATCCAACAAGACTGATAGATAAAGGAGCAGTAGGAGAGAAGAAGAGAAGTGGATATTCTGAGAGAGAGAGAGAGAGAGAGAGAGAAGCAACAAAAAACAAGAGCAAAAACAAGCAGCAATCCTTGAGAAAGGGAGCGCAGCAAAAGAGAGAGAGGATTTCCTTTACGCTGCGTTTGGTTTGGAGGAAAACATAGGGATGGAATGATTTGTACAGGTTTTCCAACTTTTCCCTCTAGCCAAATACAGCCTTAATTTTATTGTCCCGTAGATGGAAAATGATTTCCCATTTGGCGCGTCTTTTCACGCGGTCTTTCGGCTGCTTAGAAGCCGGGAAGACCGAAAACTGGTCTATTCCTATTTGGCATAAGAAAGATCTTGTCGCCAAAAGATGGGGCACCGAAAAGATGTGAGAAGCCCATTTTGGACTGATTTCAAGAAGCTCCAAATGAAGTTTCTCGTGTCTTTCGCATTTTAATCTCGCACAAAAAGACCCGAAACGATGAACAAAAAAATGTGCATATGCCAAACGCTCTTCGAGCTACCAGATCTTATGTCAAAAGTTCAATACGTCTATTGAATGTCAGAGCTACGAGAATATCTTCTCAAAATGACTTGCCAAGCGGGCCCGAAAAATATTGGGTAAAGTTAAAGATACAAGTGATAAATATTTATCACCCAAATAGATGGCTCATGGAAGGAGACAAATGGACCCTTTGCAAATAAAATAACACAAATGCATGGGGTTGAGAGCGTGTTGGCAAAATAAGATATCGAATTTCAGAGACCCGATATGCTCCTCACACATGGCGCCTAGACCTCTTCATGGCCCAGGTAGCCCAATAGGCTGGCTCGGGCCCCAGATGGGCTTGAACACACATTTGAGCCCGTGGGCTTCACCTCGGGCCTAAAAGCACGAGCCCAACTTTGTTGCAGGCCGGGCTTGGGATTTATCAAAAAGGTCCGGCCCAGCCCGACCTATAGGTTAAACCAAAAACCCTAGCCATAAATATCCTAACCCCTCTCTTCTCATTCATCTCTTTCTCTTAGTCTTAGCTGTCGAACCTCAGTTCTCTCTTCTCAGTTTTCACAGTCACAATCTCACACTCTCAAGCAGACTGAATCGACAAACACTCATCGGCGCAACCAATGAACTCCGGCGGACCAGCGGTGAGTCCTCTCTCTCTCTCTCTCACTCTCCTCTTTTCACTTCTCCTCTCTCGGAATCTCATATACAAACTTAGGCATCAGTGAGGCAACGAACACAGGCACTGCCAGCGACAATGAACAGTCATCGTTTTAAACTCTCAAAACCCTACCCAAGTCTGACTTTCCCCTTCCCTCTCTGTTCATATCTTCTCAAGTGYTTTATTCTCTGACAAACGGACCAGTAGTTCTCACTCCTCATTCTCAGTTCCTTGTTCCCTCTCAATCGTTTTCTTCTTTGGCAATCTCCAACGAACATAGGCTACCAGCTGCAACCCTTCTTTTTCTTGTTATTTTCTCTAGTGAACTTAGGCTAACACCTCAACGCAAACTCAGCACCGGTGACCATCTTTCTGTTAGGTTGGGCTTTGGGCTTGGGCTCAAGTTGTAGGCCCGTTGGTCGGGCCGGGCTCGAACTCGGGCCTAACAAAATCCTGTTTATGAAGAGTAAAAGCCCGACCCGAGCCCAGCTCGGCCCAGCCCATGAACAGGTCTAGTGGCGCCTCATACTGATCTCACAAGCACATCTCATCACGTATTAGGAACATTTTTTGTACCTTTGTGTTATTATTTATAGGAGATGTTCCTAATGCATGATGGAATGTGCTTGTAAAGTCGTTGTGAGGCACCTTGTGTGAGGAATATATCCCAATTATGAATTTCATGCTTTGAACTTGAATATAATAAGCTTTGCACAACTCAAAATGATGACCCATCAGAGGAAGTATATTGGAAAGTAACGTGATCGAGTGGACTCGGCAACTTATGAGTGACTTATGGGTCTTGCTACCCCGTCTTGTGTAGCACACTTTTTTCCCATAAAAAAATACAAATTCATGGGCTTTTCGGTGTTGATGGAATTGGGTTATYGGGGAGATCAAGATTTTTAAAAGCGGACCAGACAGGGAATTGTTCTGTGTCCAGTTCTTGGGTTGAATGGAACGGAAGACCTACCCTGACAAAAATATTAAAAAAAAACAATCAATAACCATTTTTGGGTTGAACAGTTCAACAGTTCAACAGTTCGACGCCCCAATTCAATGGTTCGTTGACCAAATCAATGATTTTTAGCTAAATATCGATTTTGGAGTAAAATAGAGGTGACCGGTTTCCGATTTTTCCGGTCCGGTGTGGTTTTGAAAACATTGGAGCAGACAAAAATGCCTGATGTTGTGAGCCAATATTTTGTGACCTCTTCTCATCTTCTAACCTAGCCTCTTGGAAGCTTTGGTTTTGGTTGTCTTAGGTCCAGGAGCTTAGAAATAGATTGGATTTCTTTTGTGTTCATATTTACAGAGAGGTTAATCAACTAGCGGATGCTCTTGCAAAACTTGGTTTGCTTAGCTTCTCAGAAAACTGTTTATGATTGCACATATACCCTTCCTTCACACGTACAGAATTTGATTACATCAGATGGCCTAGGTCTTCCTTTCTTGAGAATTCGTTGATTTTAGGTTGCCCGGACACTTATATGAGCCAGGCTTCCTTTGTATAGTGCGAGGGGTAAGAATTCACGTCCCCCCCTCAAAGGTTTTTTGCATATCAATAAAGTTTCAATGGCCACCCCTCCACCGGGAGTAAATTTTAGGGATAAAAAAAAATCTTCAATGAGGAAAATTATATGCTTCTACTCCAATAGAAGAGGAAATTAAGGTGGTGGTGTTGAGCATAGGCCCACTTAAAGTGCTAGGTCCAAGCGGTGTTCCTGTAATTTTCTCCCAACAATGTCGGAATGTAGTGGTGTTTAATGTGCTAGGAAAATGAAACCATCATTACATTAATCCAAAAGAATGAAAACATTGATAGTATKYCAATATTTTCGTCCAATCGGACTCATGAACGTCTCATAGAAAGTGGTTGAGAAGATTATTGTCAATTAGCTAAAACCTCTCCTGCATTGATTATTAACAAAAAGACTTGTTCATGGGCCGAGCCGGCCAGGCTTTGCATATGTATCAATAAAATACACTTAGGCCCGAGCCCGAGCCTGGCCCGACCATCGGGCCTAGGTCTTGAGCCCGAGCCCGGCCCTCATATAAAGCCCGGGCCTTAGCCCGAGCCAGACCAAAAATTTGAAAACATAATTTTTTTCCTTTTTTATTAAATAAAAAAGTATTTTATTTAAATACTAAAAACCTTCAAAACTAAAAAATAATTAGCATTGCACTATTACTTGGAGAAAAAAGAGAAGAAGAACAAAGAAAAATATTGCATGTATGTTTTTTATTAAATAAAATATTTTTTTATTATTTAATATATAGTATTAAGTCAGCCCAATGCAGATTTTTGATTTCCACTTTAGAGCTATAAAACATTCAAAATGTCAACAACCCACACTTTATGCATCAACGCCCACCCATGAATTGACATCAATTCCAAGTTGGCCCCTACCCTAATAGTACTTTGGGCCTACAAATTCTGACATTGGCTGAATCGTCATTCTCCCTTTACTATTTGTTGATGACATCTTAATATTTGCATGGAACTCTATATATAATAGATCGAGTTGCCCATATCAATGAAGGGATGTTAGATCCATCACATGGGCGCCCAAAAGGTGCGGATTAGGGTGGGCGAATTTCAAAAATTTYTCTCCCTTCAACTGGGAATCGTATTCCCTATTTAGAAAAATCATATTTTTCAAGGATCAATCTTGAACCATAAACCGAACCAGATTTGAAACCAAAGAGTGGGAGAGGGATATACCTGATACAGAGAAATAGTATCTCTCAATAAAGGTGTCCATGCCCAAAGAAGATCACCAAAAACTGCTCCCACTAAAGATGACACAGTGGATGGAGGAGCAAAATCAGCAGGGTCTGTCCCATGAACCGAATTCTTCAGCAAGAATCCAATGGAGGCAGTGAGCACAACTTCCTACCAGCCTTTCAGCAAAGATTGATATCAAGATCCAATCTTGACTACTCCTACAATGTTGGAGAACGAACTAGCAGTATGGCGGCGGCAGGAAGGGATCATAGGGAGAAGGCGCAGTCACACCGTGTATTATTCTCTCTGTAATTCGAGATCTAGTATCTTTGGAACTTCTATGATGGTTTGGATGGTTCGCCCCCTCCTGCTTTTATAGGCTTAAAGAGATCAGCTCTTGATCCTATCAGGAGTTTCCTAATTCAGATCATAATCTGAATTTGGACTCTCTTTAAGTGATAAGGATAAAACCCTTATCTTATCTGCATATTAGATTAGCCTTCTCCTGATCTTATCAGGAGGTTTCCAAATTTGAATTTAGATATGGTCTCTCTCTGAGGGGATAGAGTAGGACTCTATCCTATCAGCTGATTTAATCCTAGATCCGCCCCCTCTACTTTACTAATTAAAAGGACCAGTTCGAAATGGGCTTTAGGCCCAATAAGTCTATATGCTCAAAACTGCTTCCAAACTGTTGCCTAATTGGGCTTCTTTGTATGACGTGGGACCCAAGCATTCTTCTACACATCAGCCACATGGGTTCGGCCCAGCCTTTGTTACAAGGCCTGGCCGAATACACTATTGTGGACAGTTCACCCCCTGAAACTCATCACATGGGCTTCTATTGGGCCCAACACTTACATTAAGTGGTCCAGGGACTGTGACCAATGCAAGATTAGCCCATCAGGCATTACCCTTAGAGGCCTTACACTTAACCTCTCAGCCCCTAATGATCAAACACTGGCAGACAAGAGAGGACCTCTCCCTTGGCTGCAAGGAACAGTGTTGCACTCTCTACTTATATGGATCCCGGGAATTAAAACCTTTTGCAAACATTTTAGAAACCGTAATATATATACTTTTATATCTCAAATATATTTTGCAAAACAAATCTCAA